CCTGAAATAACAGACCTCGCAGGGGGGCGGTAAGCCCAGCTATGGCAGCAACAGAGGCAGGTGAAGCAGGATGAACCCCCCGGCGTGTCTGTGGGAAGCAGCGGGAGGGGGTTCAGCCTACGTTTGCAGTCCAGCCGGGGGGTCCTACAGAGGTGACGGGGCTCGGGAGCTCTGCTCACACCTACACCAGATCGCCTCTGCCCAGGAGGAGAAGAGCCTGCAGCTCCCACGCCGGCTTCCTGCAGCAGGCAAGCGCTGCTCCCCGAGATGCAAGTCTGCTGTGCTGCACGAGCCGTTCGTGTCGCAAAGGAAAGCTGATGGCTCGTGTTCGTACAGCGGTCGTTGCAGAGTGACACCCATCTTTCCACCGTGTTCTAGCTGTGTGATGGAAGGTGAAATTTGGTACAATTTATTTCTATGGCTCCTGTTGTGTTACTGGCATTCTGTGTGGTGCCTGCACTGGCAAATCGCACCTCGCAGTAAGAATTCAAGGACGGCAGAGGCGCCCAGTTCTCTGCCCTGGAAATAGTTGCCATACTGTGGTGCGTAGCCATCGCAAACCAGAACCCAATCCCCAAGCCCATGGTCCAACAGATCACCAGTTATGCCCCCATGTCTTTGCTAACAGTGAGAAAATACATTTAGCCTGGTAAGACAGAGAGTAATTAAGTGCCAGGCCTAAGGTTAATGAAATTTGGATTGAGACTTCGGGTTGGTGGGGGCAGTGGTTACGAAAAGCGGGGTGCTGTGATGCACCCCGCGACTTCTACAGGGCTTTCCCGGGGGGACAGCATCCCCTGTCCTGCCCCACCGCAGCCTGCACCTCCCAGTCTTCAGTTGCAAGCTGGAGCGCTCAGGAGGCTTTGTTTTAAATAATTTTAAATAATTTAATATGTTTTAGTTCCTGGCAAGTATTCCTTGCGTGAAGAAAGTGTTTTCGTTGAGCATTAATCATTAAAGCCTATCAACAAACATGGGCTTTCTGCAGGGTTTGGCACAGCTCACAGGGTGTGTACTGAAATTTTTTAACCTTTGTTTTAGGGAAAAAATGGTGAAAGATGTATATATATTTTTACTATATGTGTAAGAAGGGTTTGGGGGGGATTTTGCAATTTGTGTCATGTGCCATGTGACCGGAAGCTGAGAAATTCTGTTAAATAAAGGCATTGCCACATACAGTGAGGGGGTGAACCGGTTGTTTCTTGCCCACACGTCCTTCCCGGGTGTGGATCCGTACACGCAACCTGTGTCCAACGACAGGAATTGCCCCTCCGGAACCAGGCTGGAGGAAAACTTTGGGAACAGGGTTGACGACGCGTGTCTAAACCTTGGGGTGCAGAAGCTGCAGCTGAGGACCCCGCAGGCGCCGCAGCGGGTTTTGGCTCCCGAGGCGGTGGGTGGGGTGCAGTTTTGGGAGGGAAAGCAGGTTTCTGAGGGCGTGGGAGAAGGGAGTACGCTGGGGGAGATGCTTACCCACAGCAGCTGAGCCCCACCACCCCTTCCTGGGGCTGAGGGTGAGGGTGGTCCCACCCAGAGGGTTCTCCCGGTCCCAAGCATCCTCAAGTCGTGCAAATAGACAAACAAGTGTGCAAACCTTAGCTGCTGCCGACCTGCACTCCTGCCTGGTGGCCTCGAGCTCCTCTTCCCTGCACAGTGTCCCAATGGCCCCAGCAACTTGAATTTTGGGGCCTTCTCAACGAAGGTAAAAGCTTCTTTGCGCCGCAAAACACAGCGCGAAATTTTCGTGCTTGGTCGGTGAGTGAAACTGTTGAGGGAGGCGAAACAGTGATGAACTTTCAGCAGTTTGGGGTGTCAGGGTCGTCCCCGGGTCACACACATCCCGCTCTGAGTCAGGCTGCCCCTTTGCCGGGGCGGGCGGGAACCAGCTCCCCCCGGGGCGGGTTTTCCCTCGTGGGGTCCATCCCACTGGGGCTGCCTGCAGTCCAGCAGCCGCTGGTGGCTTCCCAAGCTGCTGGCACCCCCTGCACTCGCAGGGAAACTGCTCTCCTGCAGCCTATCCGGCTGCGGCCTTGTCCCTGGCAGGGTCCCTTGCTGCCGGCCACCACACGGCAGGGCCTTGGTCATGGAGGTGTCTGATAGCACTGCCCCCTCTCCGTCTGCTGGGGCCTCTGTCCTTGCCCAGCCCAGCTCCCAGGGCCCCTTTGTCTCTCTGCCCTGAGGTCTTAGCTGGATGTATCCCACCAAAATTCCTCTCACGCCTCCCAAGGGAGTCCGCAGCCTTCAGCTGACGCTGTCTCCTGGGAGAGCATGTTTTCCCCAAGGCGAGGGGTATTGCCTCCCCTGCCCCATGCCCCTCACACCTCCTGTGGGATACTGGGGCACTGCCCGTGCCTTACCCACAGCTCCGGGACAGTCACCAAACAGTCATTGGAACTCCCGGGAGAGGCCTGAGAATGTACACGGCTGCCCTCCACTCTCTTTAAGGCCATTTTCCCAAGATATTCCCAGTTTTGGGTTGCAGTGTCCTCCGCTGTCCATTTTTTTTGAGGGAGCAGCTCCACTTGTCTCTGGAGCTTTCCGTCACCCTGAGACCCTTCAACTCCTTGTTCCCACCTCAGACTTTTGAGAGCCAAGAAGCGGGCCCCTGATTTCACCCAGAGCTGCCCGCTGGCCAAACACCCCCGTCTATGCAAAGGCTGCACGCTGCGCCGGAGCAGGGACGGCCACGGCAGTAGCTGCGGGCTGTCATCAATTCCCCGAGGTGAAGAGCCGGGAGGGAGCCGCGGGGGCGGTGCAGGCAGTCACGTAGCCCCAGCCTGCCTGGGGTGCAAGGGGAGGAAGCTGCAAGAGCCGCTGCGGAACTTTCACTCTCTGCAGGCAAACCCGCCTGACCGATGCCTGCTGCTGCCTGAAACTGCGACGCACTTTGTCGAAGCGCCGCTTCCAGAGAGCAGGAGAATGATGGAAAAGTGTGAGAGAAGGGTGACGCGTGCTGCAACCATCACTGACACACTGCAGTCATTCCAAAACCAGAGGCGCCAGCCCGAGTCCGGGACATGCAAACCCACCATTTCCCCAAGTAGGATCTGGATGATTATCCATCATTTAACTGTCCAGACACCGCAGTCCCTGTGCCCCCAAGTGCTGCCCGATTTCTCCAAGCCTCCTGGCCCATACATGTTTTTAAACCTTGTATTTGGAGTTCAAAGTGTTCCTGTGACATTTCGAGGACTAATGGGAGAGGGTAACACTGTCTCCTGGCAGCCTCCAAGGTCCCCACGGCAGAATGTCATCCTGGATGTGCCAAGGACAATTCCTGGGGCACAGGCCAAGAAACGGAGGGGATAGACACTACGTAAGGCAGCACCAGGTTTGGGGGAGCCTTGTCCCTAGCACCAGGGACGGGAGGAGGTGTTGCCCAGTATGGCTGAGAATGGATTCTTGGAGCTGTACAGAACGGCTTTCACCAGCTGCAGCCGCCCCTGCAGAGCTGTGGCACAGCAAGGTCCGGTCACTCACACGTGTGTTGGGGGTGTGTAGAGCTCAGCCTTTGCAGGTCTCTCGTGCTCCAGGTTCGGCTTCGCTGGAGACTCCGTCCTAGAGAGAAGCCTCTGAGAGTGGGGCCAGAACCGGTGCTGCTGCTGGTGTGTGGGGACAGGAAGCGTCTCAGCCTCCACCCCAGGAGGAAACTCTTGTCAGGAAACAGAAATAACCGAAAAAAGCAGGGGTGACTGGTCACAGTGGGGCCCGTCGTCCTCCTGACCCCATTCGGATGGCTCCAGCAGCTCAGACGAGTCTGGGCATTCCCTACGTGCCCTGCGGCCGGGACGAAAGATGGAAACACGGAGAGGACAGGCGGAGGGTGCCGGCAACTCGCGCAGCGCTTCTTGCCCTCCCGCAGCCGTGCCATGTAACCCAGGACCTTGGGACGGCCACAGGGGAGCCCTAAGCTGAAGGGCAGCGCTGCTCGGCGTCGTGGGTGACCTTGGGGCTGGCTTTGGTCTGCTCTCGGAGGGCAAGCGAAGGCGGCTGAAGGTGTTTCTCAGGCAGGTGGCTGTGCCCATGCCGGGGGAGGTCCAGCTGCGCCAGCCTCCAGGACACGGTGATATTTCCTCTAGCCTGGGGGCCGGCTCACTTCGTGCTTACTTAAGGATCTCCGCTGTTGCTCTGCTGTACTCGACAGGCGTGCCCTTTGTCCACCAGTGTGACAATCTATGGCCTTTTCTCATTATTCTCTAAAATCTTTTCCTGCTTATGTAGATCATACAATCATCTGATTCATCTTCCAGACAGAGCTATCTCTACAAGGCAGAAAAGGCACACACGCTCTCAATGATATAGAATTTTACCTTTTTAATTCCTGAGGTTAAAAAAGGGGAAAAAAAAAAAAAGCATGAAGAAACATTCCAGTACACAACCGTCTACATCCCTGTAACCGCACAGACGCTGGTACACACAAATCTCTTCTTCTCCCACCAGGAGCACGACGTTTGCTGTGAACGGGGTTTCAGTTCTTTGGCAGTTCAGACCAAAAGATGCTTCTGAGCAAGTTACAATCTCAGTGATGGAGCGTAATTAAAACTACAGTGCAATTTCCATTTTGAAAGAGGAGCAAAGTCAGTATTCTGTAGCTTTGCTACTTAGCAAGGTGGTAGAGCCTCGTGCAATACCTCTCTGTGATCTCTCATAAAGCAACACCGAGTAACACTGAGTAAAGGAACACTGACATTTTCTTAAAGCAACTACTTTCCCTCGCGTAAACCTCTGCGGAACAAAAACTATTACCCTCCATGGTTCCAGCAGCCAGGAAAAACCCGATTGCTTATGCTGACCGCCACGTGTACTCTCTTCGTCCCATGAGTGTGACGTCCCTTTCGATTAATGTCATCGTAAATTTTAAATATTTCTTTTAATTG